AAGGCCAGATTACGACCAGATGCGAACAAATATCGTGGATATTAAAAAGATTGGCCAGATAGCGGATTCCTCGTTGGAAATATCTATGAACAATGAAATTGAACATCTTTGATCTAAGCATGTGAACTTGAAGATAAACTGCCGCGTAAGAGACAATTAGAAATAGAAATACAAAAGAAATTTCAGGCTCAGGAAAATATTTCCAGACCAACGGATGGAGACATTGATCAATTGGTAAAAATAGAAATTGCTTTATTTGAGAATGGCGGTTCCAGAGGAAAATATCTATAAATTGCGTATGATAGCTTAAAGTCTATTCCTCCGACTAGTGTGGAGTCAGAGCGGGTGTTCTCTTCATCAGGTTACTTTCGTAATTCATCAACATCATCATCATGTCCCTTAGTCCTTGGACCGTTAGGGCGCCACAGATGACATGTGAACTGCCCTCCTCCATTCGTCTCTGTCTTCTGCACTACGCGCTGCATCGCCCAGTGTTAGTCCTGTCCACTCTTTGATGTTATCCTCCCATCTTTTTCATTGTCTTCCTCTTCTTCTCCCTCCTCTTGTGGTGCCCTGCATTCTTTGGAAAGCCCTTGTTTCCTTGTTACGTGGCCGTACCATCATAGTTTGCGTTATTTCACAGTCACCAGTAGGTCATCGTACTCCACAATTGCCTGGCGAACCCTTTCTTTCACTGTATCATTGGAGATATGGTCCCTATAGGAGATGCCAAAAATGCTTCTGAAGCATCTCATCTCCATCGCCTTTATTTTCCTTTCAAGATCTTTGAAATGTCCAGGATTCGCAGGTATATAGGAAAATGGACAGGACTAATGAGCGCATCAGCCTGATTTTGGTGCTGGGGGCTATACTTTTGTCCTTCCATATTTTCTTGAGCCTCTTTAGTGCTGTTGTAGTCTGCGCAATCCTGCGTATGTGAAGCGGCCTAGTCTTCCTTCCCCGACCTTAATTTCAGTGGTGATGCATGTGGTGTTATTTGTCATCATTTTTGTCTTTTCGGCACTGATTAGCATGCCGTAGGACGACAAGGTCTTGTCGAGACGCCTTACCAGGTTGGCCAGTTTTTCTTCGTTCCCAGCCAGTCCGTCTATGTCGTCCGCAAAGCGTAGGTTGGGGATTGTTCTGCCACCAATGCTGACTGTCCCTTCATACCCTTTCAGAGCATCTGACATAATTCTCTCTAGGAAGATGTTGAACAGGGTGGGGGAGACCAGGCAGCCTTGTCGTACTCCAACATTGGAGAAACGACGACAATCCAGGCTCTCCATGATGTACAAGATAAATAATGGGCTGGTCCACTGTTCCAGTATTAAACAGAAAGTCGTCCCTCTCCCCCATAGACAGCGACGAGGCCATGACAGGCAATTCAGGCTCATACCGGCAAGAAGCCAGTATAGGAGCTGCTCATTCCTGCCCAAGACAATCAGGGACTGAAACAATCTTTCAAAAGGAACGGTTGAGGCGACAACACTAGACACATTTGTGTCTATTGCCTCAAGCCTTCAAACCCCTAGTGCATAATTTCCTCATCAACACCAGTAACAGAAACATTGCAAATCCCATCTACATGCATAGGAGCCAAAATGATCAATAAATTGATCGTGGGCCCTTAAGATATAGAAGAAGAAGAAGAACCATTCTCCGATGTTGCAGTCAAAGTTAAGTGACCAAACATTGTACATTTTGTCATTTTTACGATTTCATTATGTAAATTTGACCAAAGATTAAAACGACACCAATTATTTTAATATTTAATAAATAAAACTGTTTAAATTATTAAGTTAAGAATATTATTTTAGTTCGTCTGATTAAAGTCTGAAGATAAACTTTTGTGTTATTGTTAAAAGCTTATTAAAAATCAAAATGTGGTATTTTTTCTGCATGTTTTTATTTCATTGATAAATCCTCACCTTCAATTTCGAATAAAAATTCAAAAATTCTCTAAATATCGAAAATACCAGGATTCCGGTATTCGTAAACTTCAATATCGAAAATACCGGTTTTGCGACCCCTACCAGAATGTATAATGTTTCGATGATAACTCTATGTAAAGGCCCTCATAGAAGAGATCTTTATCTCCTGGGGTCCAATGAAGAGTTGAAGCATACACACTGACTACTTTGGCCTCGCCTGCAGCTGGTGACATCCGCAGTCGCAGAATCCTCTCCGATCCCTATGATGTATGTTCAATACAGGCCACTCATGTGTTTTTTTTTACGGCAAATCCAACACCATGCCACCTAGGCTCATCAGCGTGGTTCCCCTGCCAGTAGAATGTGTAGCTGTTTCCTTTATGGTAACACTGTCCGCTAGTCGGGTCTCTTGAAGGCGTCGTTCACCTGTTGTAGGTCGGTGTCAAATCCAGGGCCAGGGGCCAGGGCACATGGTTCTTACGTTCCATGTTGTGAAGCGAAGTTGTGGAGTTTTCTTTCTATTTACTTTCTTTGCTTTACAAAAAAATTATGCTCCTCGTGAAATGACGTCACCAGTGCTGCTGCTTAGACTTGGCGATGATTTATGGAGACCAGCTGTTGCCCAAAGCAGCAGATCCCCACTCTCCACGCAGCCAGTGGATCCAAGGGAATGACAATTAAAATTTCAATACAACTGCGTCGCAGGAGGTGCAAAAATGACGTCATCGGCGTCGGATCGACTTCGGGACTCCATCTCTGTTTGGGTTACTCCCGTATTCTTGCCATAGCTTCCCGCATTTAATGTATATACTGTATTTATATCAGTATGTATATAATAATAATAATAATAATTAGTGGTCTTATATGGCGCAGTACCCCAGCCTAGGGCCGGGCTCACCACGCTGTACATAAAGATATAATCATGACATTAATCTAAAATACATTTATGAAATAAAGAACAGCGTGTTATCAAAACAACAAAACAAATGTATATGCACCCACCCCACCCCAGAACTTTTACATGGCAAACCATGGACGGCAGCCAGCAAGATCGTTTATCAGCCAGAGGAAGGGAATCAGTCAGTGTGGTAGAGTTTAAAGAGATGTTAATATATTCTACACTTTTCCGTTTTCAAACATAAGCTTAATATACAAGGATTTTTAAATATTATTTTGGAGGCCCCTTAGTGTGGCGCCGGTCCCATTCCTCCATGCCCCAATAAGCACGGCCCTGGTGGGAAGACCCAGAAAATCAGGTTTATTTGCATTATTATGAGAATATATTTTGTTTTGAAAATGGGGTGGGGGCAGCTCCCATTATCTTTTGAAATCGGGATGGAGATGCGGAAAATGTTTTGCAGTTAAAAATGTGTGTGACGCTGAAAAAAAAGGTTAGGAGCACCTGGCTTTGGTGTTATTTTGATGATTACAATTTTAATAAATTACAATAATAATTTTATAAACATATGCATTATTATTAATTTACCTTCACTAAAAAAAACAAAAACAAAAACTCCTGGCCACCCAGTTACGCATTCAGGCAAAAGTAATCAATAGTTTATTAGTGCTAAAATTTTAAAACAATCACAATGCATCAGACAGAACTACTAAAAATGTTATCATGAATTTGTTAAACTTTTATTGATAATATTCTGAAAAGGTACACTTCGATTTTTTAGCAGGCACATACACTCTTTAATTCTATTTTTTCCTCTCACTTCTGGTACCCAGGTACGATAGCCACTTCGTAAATCTATTGATATTGAATGAGGTGGTTTTAATATTTTAACACTCCCTTCCACATCA